GGTGATTTCTCGCTTTCTGTCTCTATGTCTCTCTCTGTCTGTGTGGCGAGCGCACGCGCCCTATAGCGAAAAACATCTCAAAAGAATTTTTTTATGGCACAGTCACTCCTGGGAGCTAGATGCGGGAAGTTGTTTAAATGCCCTGTGGTTTCTGTTTCCTCATCTCTGAGACAGGGCCAGTGACACTGCTGCCACCCCGCCCACATAGGTGTAGAGGGGGACTGAGTGCTGTGGTCACAGGCATTCAGTAAATAGCAACTATTACCTCTATTAATGGTGCAGTAGTGGCCCTCGTTAGGGTCGGGGGGCACTGATGGGGTCCCCAGCAGTGGAGAATATCCACTGCTAATGAACATGAACCCTGGAGGCTGGGGCTTGCCTGTCAGTCCTGCACTGAGCCATGGGGCTGGGGATCTCCGTCCAATGTTCAGTGGGTGGACCCCCTAGGCACCCCCATGTTGTCCTCACACACACTGTGGAAGCCTTTACTTTGAGTGTCAAATAGCCCTTGGATTCCAGATTCCGAGCCTCCTTTTGCTGTGCTCTTGGGAACTTCCCGGCCTTCTGGGGAACCTTTGGAAGCTGTGCGGCCCATGGGCCTAGCCTCTGTGTTTAAGCCTTGAGCCACCTGCCTGGGAGGACTGTTTCATCTTCGAAAGGGAACATCCTTCTTCCCTTCCTTCCTCTGCTCAACTGAGGAGTCTTTTCTGCCCAGTCTTTCTGAGGGAGGAGGCTCTACCTTGGGGCTCCAGGGCTTTTTCTCCTGAGCCGTGTGTTCTCTTTCTTGAGGACACACTTCTCAGGTGTGTACCACTCCTTTGCCTTGCACGTAGCAGAGGGAGGAGACGGCCACCTCTTCAGTCACATCTGGACTTCTCCATCAAGGATCTGAGAAAAGGCTGAGGAGCTAGTGATCTGCTTTCAACCCTGCGGGCACTGAGCGCTACCCTCCAAAGGCAGTCTTACGTGTGTGCTTGTGTGTGAGGGGCTGGGTGACCCGGTCCCTCATGTCTAACTAAAAAAGCGAGGACCCTTAAATGTCTTCAGCCTCCCCAGGGTTTCTGATGTGGTTCTGGAGCCTGGTGGGAGACCATAGGGCCCACACCGGGGCTCCCAGCACTGGCTCTCAGTCCTGTGCCGGCTCCATTCCCGTGCTGCACTTCTGGCCTGGTCTTGGCTATGACACAGGGTCACAGAGGAACATGCAGGCTGTTGGCACCACGGGGCTCCAGACATGCAGTGTGGCAGGGATGGCCATGACCTCCTCCCAGCCTCTCGTGCTCTGAGCCTGAGCGGAGGCGGGGGAATGCCGGCTGTGTGACTGTGTTAGACACATTTCCCTCACTGCTCGATTTGTAAGTCCTCTAATTTGAAAAAACAGTGACTTACATATTCAAGTCATTCCAGAGATGGAAATTTAATAAGATGCCAATACCAGTTGCTTTAAAAATTAGTGAATGGCTCAGCAGATAAACGTTTTGGTCAGAATCCCCTTTTTGCAGTCTGCCATTGCAGAGGGCTCCATCCTGCACCCGGCTCTCGACGACTCAGCCCTCTGCCGGGGCCCAGCATTGTTGGCTCACAGAAATCACACAGTCAACAAGGCTGGAGTTCCAAGACTTGGTGTGATGGTGGTTCCCAGGGGAATGGCAGTTAGCACCAGCACCAACTCTGTGACTGGGACACGGGTCTCAGGGGCCAGGTCCAGGTACTGCCACCAGGGACCAGGGGCTGTGGATGGGATGGCAGAGCCCTTCCAAGTCTAGGAGCCTGTCAGCCTTGGGGTTGGCAGACCAGGCTGCCAGGCAGGGGCAGTACCCTTGCCTTCAGTGCCCATTTGTTGGACTCCGGGCAGGACTGGGGAGTCTGCACTTATTTGGAGCAGTGTCACGGTGCCAGCAGGTACATGGTTGCTAATTGGCCTCTGCTGCCTGCTGCTGCCTCAGCAGAAAAGGGAGCTATTACCGGGGAGCTTTACCTGGGGCCCTATTCTCCCCTCATTGGCCACCTGCAAAAAGTGCTGCGTGGTGGCCCCGCTGCCTTCTCTGCTGGCTCTGGCATCCCGACCCCTCCAGAGAGCTTTCTCAAGGGAGCCGCCTGATCAGTAGCACCTTCTCAGGTCTCAGTGCAGTGCCTCCTGGCTGCCACCAGGGGTCACCAGGCCCACGGCAGGCTTGAGGGTGGACACTGGCTAAGAGCGGAGAGAGCAGGTGACCAGGCAAGGGCAGGCATCTGAGCGATGGAGCCAGCAGGAACTGGAATGTGGGCATTGGACTGTGTCTTCTGGTCAACTCTGGCCATGCCTCTGGCCTGCTAAGCTGGGAGGTGTGCTGGGATATAGTTGCCTTGGCCGAGCTGGATTCTCCAGAGGTCCTGCTGTCTCCCGGGAGACCTGAGGCACAGCTCAGTACTGTTCACCACAGTGGCTTTGGGAGTCATTCTGAGTTTGCTTTAAATTCTGTGTGGCCTTGGGCCACTTCTTAACCTCTCTGAACCTCAGAGAGCTCCCCATCTGAAAAATGGGAGGAACGATCAAAGGGCTGACAAAAGGATTTGACGAAACAGTATGCAAGGGCTTAGCTCAGGCCCGGTGTGACAGTCACTCAATAAGCGGTAATGTTGTTATGATTATCATCAATAGAGTTTTCAGAGGGCCTGTCCTTTCTGTCACGGTCTTCTCCAAGATGCTCCATGGCTCCTGCTGGTTTTTAATGTTTCTAATCTCCTGTTGATTATTCCTGGGGTTTCAGCCAAATAAGCACTTCCAATTAAAGCTCTTGCGCAGCTCTGAGTTGAGTTGCCATGGCGATGGGAACAGGAACTTAACTTCTTCCCTGGAATATACACACACGTGTGTGAGTCTTTTTGTGGGTTTCTGCCTGTGGTGCCCAGAGATGGCAGGTGGGAGGAGCGAGAGAGGAATGTAGGTGGGGCCAGGGGCACAACTCTGAGGCTCCTCCTCCTGCAGGAAACCCCTTCAGCCTGATGCCTGTTTTGGGAAGGAATGCAGGTCTTCCCTAGCAAAAGCTTCCTACCCCTGAGATGACCTCAGCGCCAGGCTGGTGGCTTTGCTGGGTGGTGGGCAGCCCAGCCTGAGTCTTTAGAGCATCACAGATGTGCACGCATGTCTGTGGCTCTGTGCCTGTGAGTTTCTGTGTGCGTCTTTGTATGTGTGTGTCTGTGTCTCTGCCTGTGTACGTCTGTCTGTGGACTTCTCGGTGTGCTTGTCTCTGCGCATTGCTGTGTGCGTGTGGGGTGGCTTCAGTTCATCATTGGAGCTGCACTTCAGGCAGGAGACAAGGTTCTGCACTCAGCTCAGGCCTGGAGCTGACAGAGGTGTGGGGGCTGCTGAGGTGAAAGCAGAACTGGGGCTCACTCTGCCCTCTGGACGCGTTCAGCATTGGGCCTACCATCAGCATGGAGGTTCCTGGGCTGTGGGCTTGCTACTTCAGGTGGGGATTGGCTGGGTCTCTTTAGTTGATAGGGTCAAAAAAGTTTGAACAGAATTAAATAAATACACACACACACACAGAGAGAAAAGAAGAAAGGAAGGAAGGAAGGAAAGAAAGGGCAGGCTCTGGCTTTCTCAGGCCGTCATGGGTCTGGAGACAGTGGTCTTTGGCTAGGCCAGATCTCAGGTGGGACCCAGGACAGGGCACTGAAAACTGAGGCAGAGTCCCCAGTGCCATGTAGGTGAGGGGAAAGAGGATGCTGGCCTCAGGATGCCACCTTCATGTCAATGGCTCAGTTCGTCTTCCCTGCTGGACTGGGGACTCCTCCCTGAGGACCGAGGCTTCCTACTTGGTCCTGTGATGAGCTCCGTGCTCATGGGCCTCTGCCTGGTTCGCACCTGTGTGCTCAGGAGAGCTTTCTAGCGGCTGCTGCCAACTCTGAGATGCCTCAGCTGGACTGAGCCCCTTCCAGGAACCCAGAGGCTGTGTGGAAGGTCCTTCTGCTCCTTGTGGGGAGTTGGGATGAGCAGTTCCTGTCCTGCCAAGGCAATGGTGTCCTTAGATTTGGAAGCAGGGGGCCTGGGAAGGAGGCTGGCCTGCCTTGGACTTAGTTTCTGAGTTGGCAGAAAAAGGGGCAGCCTCTTCCTTGGTTCCTGTGCTGGGCTGGACAAAGCATGCCCCTCACTGCCCATGCCTCTGAGGACCACAGGCAGGCTGTGTGACATGTGTCTCTCCTTCTCTGCTGTGATTCCAAGTTCAGGGACTGTGTCTCATTTACTGCTGAGGCCACAGAGCCAGCTCCTTGGGGGGCTCAGTGAGGGCAAAGAGCCCCAGCTGAGAGAAGCCCACAGTGGGTTTCCTGCTGTAAGGAGGGTGGGCATCTGGGGCTGGCATAGCCTCTGAGGGGCTAGGCAGGGAGAGAGACCTTGGGTGACCATTCGTGGCTGGTTTGCATCTTCCTGAAGAGAGCAGTGGAGCTATAACATCGACCGGGTTGTGCAGTGCTGCAGGGAGCAGTCCAGCAGGTTGCTGCAGTGCCCTCCTGGAACTCACACCTCTTTCTTCCCATAGATGGCTGCCTCTTTCAGGGACAATGGAGTTGCTTAGCCTTGCTTATTTACGAAGCACCCTGTGTGCCAGGCACTGTACGGGGCTACTCACAGGTATCCTCACTGAGACTCTGTGGCCAAGTTTGCACACCGAGTCTACAGGTGAGACACTGAGCATACATCACTTGCCCGAAGTGCCACATAACAGGTGGTGGAAGCCATAACCACTGTTCTTTCCTGCCCCTCAGGGAGTTTTCTTCTCTGGGTACAAGCAGCAACCAGCACATCAGGAAGTAGGCTGAGTGGGTGGGGAAATGCCTGAGTCAGTCCAGCTGACTTGTCTTTCTTCCCTGGATTAGTGACCTGCAGCAGGGGTGAGGCCTTCTGAGAAGCTCCAGCCATTCACAGATACCAGCTTCTTCCCAAGTGGCCGAAGCCCGAGGGCCAGTCAGCAGCTCGAGGTGTTCCCTCATTGGTGCTGAAGATGGGAAGGTGAGGATTGGGGTAAGAGCAGACATGAGTGTGCACAGTGTCTGCTTACCTCATCTGGGAGGCCGATGGGGCTGAGGCCAGGGTGACTTGAGGTTGTTCTAGAATGTCCACCAGCCAGAGTCCCCTCCAGGCACCAGTGAGGGTGGCACTGCTGTGCATGGGCCAGGGATACACTTTGCTGCATGCTAGACACTGCCCCCACACCTGCTGCCCCCACCCCCACCTCGGGCCTGCAGCCAATCTTCCCATGACCTCAGAACAGGAGCTGAAGCCCAAGCCTATCCAAGCCTTCAGCCTTGGATGAGGCACACTCTCAGCAAAGGAAGGAAGAGTGCTCATCATTGAAGGGGTGACAAAGCTGAGGGCCATTTTCTGAGCCTGACACATAGTGGTGGGGAGGCACATGGGTCCTGTCAGAATTCACCCGTATTTCTCCTCTCCCCAGGGATGGACGGTGTCTACATGTGTGTGCTGGCATGTGTATACATGTGTACCTGTTCGCATGTACTTGTGTGCGCAAGTGTGGACACACACATGCCCATGTGCATACGTGTGCCATGTGCATGAACTGTATTTGTAGATGCACGTGTGCATGTGTGCATGTACACACACACACACCACATGTGTATGCACATGGGTGTATGTGTGCACATGTGTCTATGTAGTGCATCAGGTCAAAGGGCACATTGCGACATGAGGGTTGTGGCTTCCCAACTTTGGAAAGTCACCTGGCTCCAGGTGAAACTAGAAACTTCCTTGAGAAGGGCTTCCTGCCTCCTGAAGCTTTGCATTCATGCTGGGAAAACAGCCATGGCTTTACAACCTGCATCTTCATAAGAAATCACCTGGGAAAGCAGGTACAAATATGCCATTCACAGCCCATCTCCAGCCTCTCTTCAGCGGGAGGCCCACAAAGCTGTCTCTCTCTGGGTGATGCTGATGCACGCTGGGACGCAGGCCCTAAAGGCACTTGCCATGCTGGGCCCATCAGAACTCTGAAGCCCTCCCTTGTTTACCACATGTTTCTCTGCTTTCCTCTTATCTTGGGTTTCCTTGATAAACCACATATTTCTCAAATACCTGATAAGTTTCCAGGCTGGATTGGGTTGCTGCTCAGATAAAACGTGGCCAGGACATCTTAGGTTTCTTTTATCTGTGTGAGGGAGCATGGGCTTTTAACCCTTTGCATCTGTTTCCAAGACCAGTTGTCATGGAATATTTTCTTTTACATTTTGGAACTTTAAGCTTTTTCATGGTGATTCGTTGACTTTGAAGGCAATGAGTTTGATTTTCTGAGTGAAGCAGGGATTCACTCAGTCAAGGGGTTTTGAGCAGGATGAAATGTGGGCCCCTGGGATTTATCCAGAACGCCCAGCAGCATTCATCCTTGCAGTGAATTAACTTTTCTCCTCTCCACCTAGAATGGTTTGAGCTATTTGGGACAATTGAGAAAATAGTCCCTCATGTCCTTTTTGTGGCTGGTGGTTCAGATGAGCTTGGCTCAGAGTTTGTGGAAATTGTTTCCTAAGACGATTAGAGATTTAGGTCCAGCTGCAGGTAGTGCCACTACCTGGGAGGTTGTAAACCCTGTGGGTTATCCAGGTTCGGTTCTGAGGCCAACCTGAACACACTGGGCACAGTGAGTGTGCCTGTAATCCTAGGTAATTGGAAGGCGGGGGCAGGAAAATTACGGCATAGAGACATTGTTGAAAATATCTATCTCTGGGACCAGCAGTTAGCATAATGGCTATGTCACTGGACTCCCATGTAGTTGACCATGGTTCGTGTCCTGCACCCGGTGGCTTAAAACTCACACCAGGCGTGTGTGAGTGTGTGCGCAAGATCCCAAGAGGAGAATGGAGGAGAAGGGATTGCGGCATGGCCATCCTCCCCCGGGGGGTGATTTCTCGCTTTCTGTCTCTCTGTCTCTCTCTGTCTTTCTGGCGAGCGCACGCGCCCTATAGCAAAAACCTCTCAAGAAAAAAAAAATAAAAAAAAAGAAAACGTCTCTCTCTTTTTTTCTCCCTTTCTCTCATAAAGGAAAAAAAAAGGCAAATAGAGACATTGTCAAAAATGTCTATCTCTTTTTTTTCTCCCTTTCCCCCTTTCTCTTATAAAGGAAAAAAAGAAAGGCAAGTTAGGGATTTATCTGAGTATCTGTATTGCAGACTTCCCCTTCCACATCCAAGAGTCCAAGCATCTTTTAGAATCCTTTTGGGTCCCCACTTTCTATCCACCGTAGATGGAATATCAAGTGTTCTTCAGTTTTTTTTTTTAAAAAACTCTCTTTTCTGAGCCTCAAGGGAGTCTTGTGACTGGTAGGCAAGTCTGAGAGAGGTGCATGCTCTGTGCCTAGTTAACTTTCTACTCTTTCGTCCCACACCCTTTGTCTTTGTAGATTTCAGGATTCGGAACTCCTGTAACTTGGCCCTCTGTAAAGCACGTTCGTTTTCTGTCTCAGATCATTCCCAGCCAAGGTGCCACACCTGGTGCTATGCTCTGATGGAGTTATCTTCCTGTTCTTCTAGGGCAAGAAGAGATAGTCATTCTGCAGTGCCAAGGCTTGAAGTGCCGAGGGTTCTTCAAGGTACTTGGTCCTCAGCCTCCTTTCTTTCTAAGCCACTCCTACCTGCTGGGCTGCTTTGTCCTACCCACTTATAACACCTCTCCTGCTTCCTCTCTCCCCTCTTGCACTCTGAGCCCATCCGTATGGAGCTCATCAGGCTCAGGCTACCTTCACCCTCTGGGCTCTGGCACATGCCATCAGCTCTGGTTGGAGTGCGCCCTCTTTC